CTGATTTCTTAAAAGGCATCGTGTGGTGTGTCTGTACTCACTGCACCCCACATGGTGATGGATTTCAGGTGTGGGGAGAGGGTGAGAGGCTGTTTGGTGCTCAGGACTTGTGCAGCCCTGGCTGACAGCCTGCCTGCCCTGCCTGTCTGCTCGCTGCTGCCTGACAGTGGAACAGCTCAACTCGGAAGAGCCCTGTGGAGGGCACTGAGCTCTGATTCATAGCAGCTAACACACAGCACTAAGACTATATTTATCCACAGTACATGCATGATGTTTTGTACACTTTGTGGGTTTTCTTAACCTTCATTTGTTCTAAGTAGTCTGTTGTGATTGGCAGAGTTTTAAAATAAAAACAAGTTCTATAAGAGTAACCAGACCCAGTATACAAAGTGCCTCCAGTACTCATCCCTATTTTTGATGCTATTTATCCGCACTTTGATTTGTTACTTCAGGAAGAAAAGTCTTAATGGGAATGAGTATCATGACTTTGTACTTCACCAGAAATTGGTAAATGAAGTCTGCACCTGCACTGACCCTGGGGAGCCTTTGTATTCTGGGGCAGCTCAGCTAGCAGTAGAGCATAGATGTCCCATTGCATGTCAGGAGGCTTGCTCTCAAACCTCTCTTAAACATCAAACAGACATAGTTCCTTTAGCTTGTTTCATTCAGCCTAGTCTGTACCTCAGAAATGGTAGGTCAAAGGGCAGGAAATCAGTGGCATACCACCTTTGGTCTTGTTCAGTGTGGTAGGTACTTCTTGGCAGCCCTCCAGGCAGTGTTTCTAAAGTGCTTGCACAGCTCTAACACAGGAAATCCTGGAATTTTACAGCTGAACTGAAGGGCCAGGTAATGTGGCATTTGGTGATTCATAAAGTCTTGTAAATACTTTATTTTCCTTAAGTAGCATCATTCTTCTTTTCTCCACTCAGTAAAGGAGAAGGGGATGAATGAAACCAGAAAGAAAATAGTAAGGTAGTCAGGTGATGGTTTCGAGGGGAGAGAACAAAATTTGGAGTTCTAGCCTGAGGGAAAGTGGGAAGACTTGTCATTGTTACTTTTAATTTAAGTCCATGGACTGTAGAAAAACTGTGAGCACTTTAATTACATAATGACCTCTAAAATGAAGGTGAACAGAAATGCTGACTTTGTAGAGCACATTTCTAGGTCTCAGCCAGATTTTCTGAGTGAAACCCGTTATCAGCTCGGAGAGGGAAAAATGAAGCTTGCTATATGGAACTTTTTGTCACATTTTTTGAGATCTTTATTGGGTGTTAGAAGGCAGAAGAGAGAATTTGTTTCATGCCTTTATCAGAGTGCTGCAGTCTCCGCTGTTCCAGCAGATTTTGGACCCTCTTGTGTAAGTTGTGCCAGTGCAGTGGCTGCAGGGAAGGGGCAGGCTGCGTCTGAGTTGTTCCTCTTCCTGCCCCGTGGTGCCCAGCGAGGCGGTGGCACAGGAAGAAGTGTGCGGGCACCACAGCAGCTTGCTGACAAAGACAACATCTTTGACTGGAAGCACAGGGCAAGCCAGATTTGCAGTCTGCTAATAAAGGAGCAAACTGGCTTAGTTTGAAAAGGTATGCGTGCTTCCATCACCTGCTGCAACTGGAACCAGAGTGGTGGAACGGGGAAACATTTGGTCTCTTGAAAAACACGAGTTCTGAATGAATGTTGGAGACTAATGTAATCATCTTAATGGTTTGCTTCCTGCTTTGCTGTGGTAACGTGCCACTGTGTATGCCTGTGTGCTTTTCCTAACGAGAAGATTTTTCCCTCCTTGAAAGACAGAAAATCTGAGGGGGAGCTATTAAATTCTGAAAGCTATATTTAGCTGGGAGCAATTAAAGCTAGCACTGTATAATGACACTTGAGACTAGCTTATCCATCAGGCAAACAGTAAGATTTTAACGTTTGATTTCAGTCAGACTTGGAATTACTGTTAACTTCTGCTTACATTCACTAAATACTGCATTTTAGAAGGTGTCTGGTGCAGGTTGTTTTGGAGAAGATATTTGCTTTCTTGCTGTTCCTGCTTTGTTCCTACTTCCATTTTCAGTGTGAACCCCAATAGTCCCATGTGGCCTTTGAAAGAGGTAGTTCTGCTCTACCCTCCAGTCAGCAGGTGCCTGGTTTGCTCTTTTCCTCATCTTTATGCTTGCAGCATGTGGGTGCAGTGAAATGACTCTGCAAACACTATGGCTAAAGATTTGGCTTTTTCCCTCTTTAGTTATTAATTGGATTAACTTTCCACTCTAATTTCTCTCTGCAGTCGTGTTGATACTGGCTTTAGTAGAACTTGCTGTGGGGATAAATGGCCAGCTTTGAGATGGGGGAGAATTGGCTGATTCCTCCCCAAGGGCCCAGTTCTACTTGATGCAGACTTGCACCAAATTGCACTCTGTTGCCAGACTGAGTCTTTGCTACACTTCTGGTAGGCTCTTCTGGAAATAGTCAGAAATGTGTAGTTTCCTAAGGACCAATACAGTACAAAACTGCTTAATCAATTGCTGTAGAATTGTTGAAAGGTCAGTTACTGCATGTTCATTGTTTTTTTTTCCCTTGGGTACCAGATAATTAATTTTCTCAGTTCTGCATTAAATGAACATCCCTCTATGATGCTCACATGAACTATAGTCATCCACTATGAGATGTTTATTGCTCAGTTTATCCTTCTCTACCAGTGCATCAGACTCTAGAAAATTTCTGATGTTGAATGCTTGTATGTCTGTACAACTGTAGGTTACTTTTCTATTACACAGACACAAAAAAAATATTATAAATTAATCAACAGTGCCATTGAGAGAGCTGATCTGGATTTCCCAGATGATTTTAGAAATTGCGTAGCGGTGTTGCAAAATATTCAGAAACATAATCATACAAATGCTCACTGATCAGAAGAGATGTCTTGAGACCAGTAAATTGTGGGGGAAATTTCCTCCTTTTGGAAGGAGGAAAACTTGATGTCTGTGCAAAAATGTGTGAAGACTGTGGAACAACAAAGACTTGACTTGGCTTTATGGGGTGACTAAATGGTTGATACAACCATTGGCTTCCTAACCTGCTGATGGCCTAAAGTGCCCAGTGAAGGATGCTTAGGTTGTGTCTCTTTATATCTGTCCCTTTCCTTTAACAGGGACCTTCTGGGGTCCCTGTTACTTCAATATGATATGTAATATACTCCAAGTAACTAACATAGTTCTTTGTAGCCTATATCAGAATTTTTTTTCCTGTTTTTCTTGTGTTTTTCATGCAAATAGCACAGAATTAAAGACAAAATTTTCAGATCTACCTCATTGCGTTTTTTTCAAAGGCTTTTTATAAGGTTATTCTGTTGCCTTAACCATGAGAAGTTCTTAATATACGATTAGTTGGAAGTTTCAAATGTAGAACAGCTTAATTTTTGAGTTACTGGGAAAAATGCCAGCCATAGATTTGGGAAAGTCTGAGTAATAGAATCATAAAGCTGGTTCATTGCTCAAATATGTTGTTATTTCAGCTGCCTCTGCCCACTGCATGTTCCTACAGGCTAAAAATGTCAATAGGCTCTTATATTAATAGCTATTTTAGGATTCTAATCTTAAAAGGCAGTACAATGAAAGAACCTTAGATTAATCAAAAATATCAAAGTTAACACATCAAGTGTTCTTTCTTACTCTAGTTTAAAAAACTTCCACCCTTAATACTTAGATGATTAAAAATGCACAAGTTCATGAGTTGAACTACCCTAAAATTAAATCACAGATGTTTAAGCTACAAACCAGATGGGGACAGTGGCATTTTTAGGAATCGATATAGAAGAAGCGAGAAATTGAGTGTAAAATTAGGAGATATTAAATGTAGACAGCTGATAGGAGAAGGCAAAAGTACAGCTCAAAACTCTTGAGTTGAAAACAGGGAAAAGAATTTCCTCTTTCCTTGGAAAATATGCTAAGATTGTAAGAATAATATTAAATAAGGGCAGTAATGTCAATTCAAGAAATGCAGAAGAATTTGATTTCATTACTGAATTAAAGCTGTAGTCTATGAAAGCATGTGGAAGTAATTGCTAAGAAAAAGTTAAATTGTAATAGGGATCTAAATTCAAAACTGTTATCACAAGTAATTTTGAAGAATTCTATTTCTCATATTGATTTTGAAGAAAGATCAGGAAAGCCTCAGCATTGGAGAAAGCTTAACAATGTCCTAGTTCTTATAAACCATATGTGGTACTCAGACACTGGTTAATTTGGGGCTGATTGTTTGCAGACTATTGGAAAATTCATCATCAAGCTGATATGGTAACTGACTCAGTGCAATAGAAATCCAAATCTAATAATTGGAATGAAGAACCATGCAGTCCATGAATATAAAGACAGACTAAACCATTGTCCCTTTTTGGCTCAAATGGAGCACATTAAACTTTGTCATAAGCCATTTCTGTTTGGTAGCGTTCACATTGTACAGGGAAGTCCTGCAGGCTGCTAGAACTGTAAAATTGGATTGTCCTCAGAAAAAGTGCATTTGACTAAATGTCAAAACCCTGTGTTAGTTGCTTCAAAGCAACAGCTGAATAACGATACAAATATGTCAAGGAGTGTAGTACCCTGGCATCTATTTCTGTTCAGGATTCTTCTTTCTTGTTTTGTGCTGACAGGATGTTTGGGTGGGTTCCCCACAGCCTCAGTAGAGTTACACATTTGTGCAGAGTTCTGGGTCTTCAGAGCAGGAAGGGTTTCTGTTACAAAATGTATTGCTCTCAGACTGTAATAGTAGACTAAAACTCAAGTTGCTTAGTTATATGGCAGAATGTGGCTAACCTGAATTTTTAATACTTATCTTTCAGAAAACAATGTCAGCTGTAGATACTGTATATTAGGGAAATATTTTGGGAGGGCAGACTGCACAAGAAAACAAGGCAGAAAAATCATCAGATACTCATATATTCTACTTGTTACTTCCCTTGTGCTTCTCAGGAATGAAAGGACGATGCAGCAGGAAGTTCTATTTCTCATCTGATTCTTTTGGTTTGTTTTTCAGATCCAACACAAGACTCATGTGAGCTTGCCACATCTTGTCTAATGGTACTAGCTCATATTTTCACTTCTGCAAGAGAAGAGATTTGTATTCTTCCCAGTGGCAGTGATGCTACCCACTCACTGTAAGTCATCCTTCTATCACAGCTGTCTTACCCTCCTTCTAGGCAAGCAGAGGTTAAAATAGTGTGGAGCCTGTTTTAGCCTGGAGAGCAAGATCAAGGAAGCTGTGTAAAAGCTTCCTGGTATGAAGAATCATTTCATATGAAGAATCAGTGGAGAATGGGAGAGGACTGCAGTATAGCTGTGAAGGGGCAGCAGTTCAGTCCCCTTCTGGGGTAAAATACTGTGCTTAATTGGATGTCTAGAAGAATAGAAGGAAGTAACAAGGAGATGGAATAGGTAAACCCAAAGTTGTTCTAACCTTTTATTCTGCAGAGACAAGGGTAATTGTTCAAAAATACCTCAAAGCTGTGTTACTTTTGAGGGAAATAGGGGAAAAAATACCATTTTTTGAGTTGTACTGTGTTTGGGTTCCCTCCAGTCTAAGGCTTTAGGGTTTCCACTGATCACCCACCAAGTCAGGAAGGGGGAACTCTCACCCATTGCACCATTGGACTGTGTGGTTTGTGTCTCATTCTGAAATCAACTCTCTAGACTGCAGCCAAATGTAGGACTTGAGCATGGTTGAGATTATCAGTGACAGTGAAAAACCTCTTGTCCTGCTGGTGTGTTTTTTCGCCTGAGTGTTCACTAATTGTGAGATTTAGCATTAGGAGAAAATTCTGTCCTGAGTCATATTTCCAGTCATGGTACTTGGGTATTTTGTCTTTTCTAATAGTATGCAAATGTAGTCACAATGCATTCTGAATGCTTAACAATTTCTCTTTTGGTGTAGGAACCAAACCATTGATACTGAAATGCCAGAAAGTTCAAATACAACTTTTTAATGCTTGTATATGTGTCTGTGTGTATAAGTATACATATTCTTGTCCTTTTAAACCTGTGGGGACTAGATTAGTATTCTAGAGCATATAGGATGGTTAGGATGTTGTAGGCCTCATGTGCATGTGTTTTACATATTTGACTGCAGTTTTGGAAGGCTGGGTGTTCTGAACTGTGCAGTTCTAGCTCTCCTGTATATAAACTGATGTTTTTAAAGTCTGTCTTGACAGGCTTACATGGATCTTACACTTGTAAGCCAGAATATAGCACTGCTGTTTGCACTTACTTCTTATTGTAGTTGTACCTGTGTTTGTGTAAGCTTAATCACTAATTTAAACTTGGTGAATTTTTAGGCTGAATCTCTGTTTCTCTTGTGAGAGTGTAAAAAGTATCGCTAGCTCTATGATGCCCAGTAGGAACTTGCTTTCCTCTGGAGAGCTGGAGATGAGTCATGAGAACTGAAGTATGGAGCAGGCACAATCTTTGCTAGATGTGACTGCTGTAAAGCACATTAAAAACCACATATGTTTTCAGTTTCTCTGAATTACAAGCTGTAAAGGTGTCAGCAGAGGAGAGCAAGGAGGGGAAAAGCTTTTCACTTGGTTATTTCTGTTGGCAGGTACTGCCCTACTGCTCCAATGGGAGGTGCCCAGTTGCTGTAGGATCCTTTTACCTATGAAGATAGTGGAGTTTATCAGCACTATTACAAAACAGCTCGCTGATAAAGTTGGGAAGTTCTATGTTTAAGTAGCAAACCAAAGTTTTGTGATTGCCTAATGGCTTTCAAAACATTTCTGTATGAGGCAGAAAGGAACATAGATCTGCCCCACCCCAGTGTGCAGCACGTGGCAGCTTTATTTACAGAGAGGGTTCCTGTGGAACAGATTTGTTTATGAAAAGGGAATTTTTCATTGCTCCTCTAATAGCAGCAGCAGAAGACTGAAATGATAATTGGGATTTATCTTAACAATAAAACTTCCATTTTCATCCTGACATAGTACAATCCTGTTGTATGTTCTCGGAATGCATTAATACTTTGTAACACCCTGTTCTTTGATATACATTAAATCTTACTTTAGCACATGGTATAATTTCACTCAATAGCTCTGCATCTTTTGAAAAAGGAAAGAAACAGTAGCTGGTGTTCCAAGTGAATTTGCCTTTAAGTGGCTATCTTAAATTCATTTTTACAAGCTTGAGAGTTGAATCTATGGCTGTTACAGAAGCAACTTCCATATGTCATTGAACCTGTAGAAGAATTCTTTTCTGCTCTCCTGAACGTAGAAAAACACAGTGAAAGAAGTGATCCTCAGTCCACAAATTTTTTTAAGAGACACTTCATGGAATCCTTATGTATTCTGGTCTTAGGTACTTCCTATTAGTTTTGCCAATCTAAAATTCCAAGTTGGGTTCTTTGGTACAAATATTATATACATTGACTATTTGGTTTTATCTCACTTCTGAAAGGTATTTAAATCGATTTACTAAGCCGAATATTGGCAGCTCAGTGCTCTCTGCTGGCTCCTTATTAATAGTCCTATATCAAAAACTCTTCATACAGAACAAAATTCTATGTTAAAATATGTCATTTAGTACTTCCTCTGAAGGAAAAAGAGGCCAAATATTAGCATGCATATGCATGTAAATGCAAAAATAACTAATGTATAACCCTAGCTTTTGCGTACAAGCTCAGGACTATAAATTCAAGCCACTTCTCTCAGATGTTTCTTTTGGAATTAGCTATGAGTATTTGTACTTACTTGTCCTGTGAATAGTAGCACAGGTAAGCCTCCTACAAAAAAAAAGTGAAGGGAAGAAAAAGGCTGTTTGTTAACTTCTTGTTTTATTAGTTGCTATTGAAACTGCTTTTGTTATTTTTTAAGACCAAAACAGTTACATCTAAGTACCATGGATGGCATCTGTGGCTGGGAGGGGTGAATAAGCAGGTTACCTACCTCTTGGAAACATAATTTGGTTTTTTTTAGATTTAGTCATAGATACTTTAATCTAAAACGGAAAACACCTGCTTAGACAGAGGAACTGTTTGAAATGAGCAGGCTGCTGATTTTATATGATCTCAGAATAAAGTAAATTTTAAGACTTGTTTCAGTAGAAAATAAGTGTCTGTGAGATTACGAAAAGGTGGATGAAATATACAGGCACGGTTTCATTAATACAGCATGATAATATTTATCATTTAAATGCATCTTTTAGGGCAAGTTTTTGCTTGTAAATGCCGTCAGGCTCATGTTTGGCTTGAGGTGGTGTGACAAGGCTGTGAACTCCTGGGCCCTGTGGTGCCAAGGTGACAGGCCATTCTCCCTGGGTTAGGGACAGAGTGGCACACACAGGAAAAGTCAGGTCTTTTTAGTAGTTACTGCTTCCTACTTTGACAGAGACTATGAACTCTAAGTGCTTGAAATAGCTAATTAGCATAGCCAAAGGTAATTTAGAAGATCACGAGTCTTGTCTTACATTATGGAAACGTCAGATTCCTTATGCTTAAATGCAGAGAAAAGTAGCGACTGCTGTGTGTCTGCTTGTTCCAGAGACAATCACCCGGGTCACCCTTCCCATTTTAGCAATGGGAACAAGTTGCCTTCTTACTGACATTGCAGTGAGGATTTTACAAGGTGGGATTCCTCATTCTGCTTACAGAAAGTGATACAGATAGTCCATAATTCTTACCAGTGAAAATGTTTTGATCACACCCTCACTGAGCAGAAGCATATACTTTTCATTAACTCAGTCCTGTAATGTACATAATTTTTTTTGCTTGGAGAAGCCAAAAGAGCTTGCCTCTTCATTTAAGAGTAGCTCTAAGAGGCCATCTTGTCTTGCAGCATGTGCTTGAGCACATTCTTCTGCCCGCCTTATCTTTTTGAAAAAAGATGGGGTAAATTTTTCCTGTCCTTTACTGATGGAACCTCTGGTAATTTCTGTATTTGTCCATCAGCTGAAGAATAGAAATAAAGCCACAGACAGATCAGAAGGCAGAAAATTTGTCATGCTTCTAAGGTGGCCTTAGAAGTGAAGACCCACAGCTGTATAGCTGTGTAGTTGTATAGCTTTGGGGCCCTTCTTTGCAGTTGTACCACTGCAAAGGCAAATTACAGGAGAGTGGAAGAGAAGGTTGCAGTTGTTAGTGGGCTCCTCTGGATTGGTAATGAGGATATGAGACTGAATTCCCAATCCTGCTGTGTATAATAGTGAATGAGGTATGGCTTTGGCCTCTAGTGGCTGTTGCTTATTCACCAATTCCTAGTTTATATCCCTTATACTCATATTTCCTTCTGAGAAAAGGTCATATTCCTGTTTTAATTCTTAAGGCAGGTTCTCGTAGCACCAGGCATTTGAAGACAAAATGAAAATGGCATTGTTTCTCTAGGTTGGAAGAAGCTTCCTATTAAGCAGATATGTAAAATATTATGATTATTGAAGTAATTACTTCTCAAGGAGAAATAAAGATTACTTTAAGGACTGAGTACAATGTTAACAGTATAACTTTTTTTGAGCTATGTGTATAAAGTTCAGTGTCTTCTTCAGATTCAGTCAATGGGCTTCTGTTACATTAATGTGTTTTAATCTTATTTTATCCTTGTGTGTTTGACCAAGAATGTAATGTCATAGATTTTTTTGTTGCAATTCTTATCAAACCATATATGAGGGATGAAAAATGGTCAAACCTGATGAAGTGTTATTATCAATAGTGATGAATAAACAGATGTTTTTAATGAAAATGTAAAATTTGCAGTATTTTTTTAATGTGTTTTTAGAGTTACCCAAATTTATGCATCTCACACACAAAATGTCTGTTGGGGAGACACATGCTTTTTAATGACCAAACCATAGCAAGAACTTTTCAGAATATAAGTACATTGTCACATCAACTTATGTTTCAAGAATATTAACATTCTGAGAGAAAACCAGGAAAGGTGTCACCTGACAGGGAGTAAAACACACTGACACAATAATGAGCATCAGAGCAATGATGAAAATAAATTGATGATGAAAAAGCTTTAAGGAGCCTTCAGTGCAGCAGTGTTTTTACTGTGACTTTCACTGCTCTTCCCTTGGGGGACATCCAGGTGACTTCTGTCTCCAGATCTGGAGGAGACCTGACTCTGCTGCTGGATCTTTGCAGAATGGCAATTTATTAAAGAAAAGGAAGTTTTTGATC